AAAACCACCTTAGTAATCATGGTATGTCTCCTGCCAGGTAAATATAAGACTGGGACTTTTCAAACAGGATAGGGAGATAATCATGAAAGGAAGACTTAATTCTTCTATCTATTCTTCTATTCACCACCTATCTAGCTATAATTTTCATTCATTCATAAATGTAAGCAAAACACTTAACAGATAGTATCAAAATGCTCAGGTCCCTGTGTGTGTGTGTGTGTGTGTGTGTGTGTGTGTTTGTGTCTGGGTTGAACTTAAGTGGAAGTACCTCTCTGCTGCCCCCTCGTGGTCTTCAGATTACCCTGCATGTCTCTGTCAACTGCTTAGCTTGATTTTGACATGCTATGTAAACCCTGCCCTCTCTGTATTTTAATTTCCTCAGTATAATAATTTTCAAAATAGAATAACTGTGTCATATGTAGGAGGGCATTTTAGAAAATTAGATAAACTTCAGTTTGAGTTCAGTCTTTGAAACAAATTTATGGCACAGAGAAATTTAATTAGCTTATATGAGTCCAGAAGTCTTCAAGATGAAATCTGTATAATAGGGTCTCATGGGAGACCCAATTATACAAATTAGATCTTAATATCTGATGCATCTACACACTTCCTATAGTTCCTAGCATAAAGTAAGAGCCTTATAAATATTATCTTTTAATATATACATTTTAAGGGCTTTCAACATATTATTTGGGCTTCCCTGGTGGCTCAAGTGGTACAGAATCTGCCTGCAATGTGGATAATCAGGGTTTGTTCCCTGGGTCAAGAGGATCCCCTTGAGAAGGGCATGGCTACACACTCTAGTATTCTTGCCTAGAGTATTCCATGAACAGAGGCACCTGGGGGGCTACAGTCCATGGGATTGCAAAGAGTCAGACACAACTGAGTATGTTACTTTAATACTTTGAGTTTTACATGCAATATCTCACTTAATCATTAATACACTATGCAGAAATCACTTATTCCCCTTTTCCAAGTGAGTAACGTATAAATCAGAATATGTAAGAAAATCTTTAAGCATTAAATAGCTAGAAAATAATTCTATTTATAGAATACTCCAACAATACAAACACTCATAAACTGAAAATTGATAATTCTTATCCTACAGTCCTAATCTCATTCCTCTTCCTACAGGAAACCAGCCTTAGCAGTCTGGTGTGAATCCTTCCAGAATGTATTTCTGATTCATGGGGATGGGGGTGAGAGAGAGGGAGAGAGAGAGAAAGAGGAACAGAACTGTCAGGAAAGAGAGAGATTCAATATTTGTTTATTGAAGATAAAAAGCTTGAAAAAGCTCTTCCTATTATGCTAAATTGAAGGTAATATTCCCTTTTTGAAATCTCAGATAAAGACAGATTAATATCTAAAATCATTTGAAGGTCTGTGACATTTTGAAAATGTAATTTGATGTTTTACTATCCTTTGCTTTACGATTAGAAATGGGAAAGAGAGTGTAACCATTTCCTCAGGGGCCATTACTGGGGAAAAGGAGGCTGAAAGAGACACTCAAATACCTTGTCTCTGCAAGGTGGGGGCACCTACCTTCAGTCAAGAGACTTCTTCAACAGCCTACTTTTCTAAACAAATCTTCCAGATGTGTATCAGACAGCATTAACACCCTGATAAGATAAAAATATATAGTTTGTCCTTTTTTATCCTTATGATTGCCCCTGACATTCTCAGTCTTTCATGTGGTCACTCTGGTTACACTGAAGGTCATCGGCTGTGAAACATTAAATCAGAGAGAAGATAACCCCATGCTTATAGGTTTAAGCTGAAATAGTTAAGCAGAGTGAATTAGAAAATTACAAATATTTTCCAGAAAGTGTGAAATGAGTCTTCTCCAAATTAGTGCATAGAGAAGAATAGTGGACAATAGACCCCATATTAGGATGAGCAACTCTAGCATAAATCTGCACCAATTTTCAGTCCAGACAAAAAGACAGGCTATGAGGATCATGTCACGGAGGCAAGAGGGGAGAACTGATGGGAGCACAAACAAAAAGCCATTTGATCTAAGATAGTAGAAAAGAGCATAACAGCAGCTGTTTGTGATGCTAACAGTGCAAAAGACCTTGGTAAAGAGATGGAGGCATAAGGCAGGGATTAGCAGACAACCGTGTAGTAGTCAAAGGATTTGGCCATCAGTAAAAAGATCCCATGAAGAATAATCTATGGATGGAGCAATATTGCTGCTGCTGCTGCTAAGTCGCTTCAGTCGTTGTCCGACTCCGTGCAACCCCATAGACAGCAGCCTGCCAGGCTCCTCTGTCCTCGGGATTTTCAAGGCAAGAATACTGGAGTGGGTTGCCCTTTCCTTCTCCAATGCATGCATGCATGCTAAGTCGCTTCAGGCATGTCGAACTTCGTTGGACCCCGTGGACAGCAGTCCACCAGACTCCTCCATCCACGGGATTCTCCAGGCAAGAATACTGGAGTGGGTTGCCAGTTCCTTCTCCAGGAGCAATATTAGACATAGGCTGAACACTCTGAAGCATTGAAACACAGGATTTCATGACTGTGGAGAGGATGGTGAAGGTTAAGTCATTTTTCAGTCACTAAGGCATGTCCTACTCTTTGCAATCCCATGGACTAAAGCACACCAGGATTACCTGTCCTTCACTATCTCCCAGAGTTTGCTCAAATTCATGTCCATTGAGTTGGTGATGCTATCCAATCATCTCATCTTATGCAACCCTCTTCTTTGCCTTCAATCTTTCCCAGAACCAGGGTCTTTTCCAATGAGTTGACTCTTCGCATCAGCTGGCCAAAGTATTGGNAAGATCTGACCACATGGTTGACTTTATCCTATTAATGTCAGTACATCCTGAAATCATGTTAGAATCTATGTTTATACCTAAGCTTTTCAAGCCACCTTAAAAATACCTGTATTTTCCACTTATAAGTTACAGTGTTGAGTCTTAATCTTAAATGCAGTACCTATGCTTATCCCTATTACAATTTTCTTTGCTAGTTTTGTTCCCTTCCCTATCTATCAACAATACTTTTGAATCCAGCTGTTCAACAGTGATAACATTTGATAATCATGCTAAGAGGCTTGGGTGGGCTATCAGAGGCATCAAGGCTACTGAAGGCTATAAGGGAAATCAGTAAGAAGTCAGATAAAAGAAGTGGTTGGGGAAGATTCTCATGGAGGAGTATACAAAAGATGGACAGAAAATAAAGAAAGGAAGAAAATTATACATGTAATATAGAGACACCAAGGTACTTGTGATTTCTATAAGGTGTGTGAGTAGGAGAGGTACCAAGATAGGAGGATCTAGCACTTAAGGTTTGGATCTGGGAAATTTCTGGCTGAGAGAAAATGACAGATGAGGTTTTTCCATGTTGAAGTTGTTGGAATACTCTTAGAAAGCTCACTGTCTGGATAGGCCATCAGTATGGAGAGTCTCTGAGGTGAGGCAGAGAGAACCTAGACTAGACTTGCTATATCCTATGCTTCGTATATAAGATCTGATCAGAAAATAGGATGTGGGGAGGAGGTCCAAGTAGAAAAACCAACTTAGAAATACAAATAATGACAATCCTCAGAGAGCAATAAGCACTAACTTTTTAGATTGCATGCTCAGGACTAGCTTAGATCCATATAGTAACACAGAAACAACAGCAGATGAATGTTAATTAGCATAGCATAACATTAGCAACAGACTGTAAGCTATATTTCTTTTTTTAATTTTTACTGAAGTATAGTTGATTTGCAATGTTGTTAGTTTCAGGTGCATAACAAGGTAATCCAGATATATAAGTATATTCTTTTTTAGATTCTTTTCTATAATAGGTTATTACAGGATACTGAGTGTAGTTCCCATCTAGTAGGCCTTATTGGTTACCTATCTTATATGTAGTACTGTGTATATTTTAATCCCAATTCCTAATTTACCCCTGCCCCACTTTACATGTTTATTTCCAGCTTGATGAAAGCATTTGTATTTTTGTTGACTATTTCAACCAAAGTGAACAGCATAAAGACAAAGATTTTGAAGAAAGTTGAAGGAAAAACCTATTCAATCAGCACACAACATTACTAATGTCAGGCTTTCTGTCTTCATTAGCAGCAAAATTTCATAAAGTAAAAATGCTCTGAGTTCTTCTCTGTCAGAAGGAAGTGAGGAGAGATAGAAACAGGAGGTGAAACATCAGGAAGCAAATTAGAAAATTGGAAAGAAGAAAATTAGTATATTGATGTTTACTGGGAAAAAGGAAAGGTGTGCTAGGGGATCTGACTTCAAAACTAGCTGATAGGAAATTGGTTGCTTGCTATTGAATTTTTAATTGTATCAATTTCCCTTTAATAAACTAAAACATATGGATTTGCTAAGGGAAAGTGAAGTTTCAGGAGTAAGTTTCTAGAGCTGTATACTTTGCTAGTTTTCCTAACATATAAAACAACATCATTTCTAAGAAAGATTCAAAACATAGACAAGGGAAGATGATAGAGCACACAAAATGTACCTCCAATTGCACATATATTTTTCAGACCAACCAAGTTTGAACCAGGCTGTGTTGTTGTTCAGTCACCAGGCTGTGTACAACTCTCATTATACCATGGACTGCAGAAGACCAGGCTTCCTTGTCCCTCACCATCTCCCGGAGTTTGCCCAAGTTCATGTTCATTGAATTATTGATGCCATCCAACCATCTCATCCTCTGTCTCCCTCTTCATCTATTTATCTTGATACTTATTATTCCTTTACATACATGATCTGGAATGTCCCAACTCACTATTTCCTGTATCCCTTTCCCCAAGATCACTGACATTATATTATTAGAATATTTTATGTATTTATTCTAATATATACTCTATAGTCAAACATTAAATAAGTAGTATATATAACCTGCTCAAGTCAACTTACAGCTGTATGTAATAATTTAAATCTCATCTATCTTGGAAAAGAACAAGTGAGCAAAAAACCAAGTTTCTCTTCCAATAATGAGAAAGGCCAAAGTTTCCTAGAGATCTTGAGGTCCTGAAACAAGGCTCAAGCAAGCCTACTGCTGACAGAAAACAGACGAACAATGCTTCTCTGAATCTGCTTGGTCTTGATGCTGTATATAAGAGGATTCATGAATGGAGGAAAGAGAAAGTAGACATAGCTCATGGTAACATGGACCACATGTGGTGCATGCGCCCCAAACCTGTGGATGAAAGTCAGGCCAATCACAGTGATGTAAAAGACCAGGACACAGCTGATATGGGAGACACATGTGTTGAGAGCCTTAGCTCGCTCCTCTCCAGAGGCAATGCCCCTCACCGTCTTAAAGATTAAGATATAAGAGATGAGAATCATCAGAGCATCTAGGAAGAAAGTCAAAGCAACCAGAATAACTGGGTACACATGATTAAATGTAATATCAGCACAGGTGAGTTTCATGAGATCTTGGTGGAGGCACAAGGCATAAGAAAGAACATGGGAATGGCAGTATGGGAACCAATAGAGTGGCAGAATTGGGGGTACAATGGACACAAAGTCCCTCATTAATGCCCACAGTCCTATTTTCATCACCCAGGAAATGGTAAGAATGGAGCTGACCTCAGAGGGCTATGGATGACAATGAAACGGCCATAAGCCCTAGCAGGCAAGATACCTGATTCTACAATAGCCAGTGTGTGAATGAAGTAGGATTGAGTGAAACAAGCACTCTGGGCAATTTCCCTCCGATCCAGCAACAGGACACCCAGGATTGTGAGCATTATAGTTAGCATCATCCCAAGATCTGTACCTGCCAGCCCAGAAGTAGTACATGGGCTCATGAAGACTGTGTTCATTCCAAATAAGGAAAAGCAGCATGCCAATGCCAGAAACGATGGAGAGGAATATGATAAAGAAAGGAAGAGAGATCCAGTGGTGAACTGCTTTTAAGCCCAGGAAACCAGTCAGCAAGAAGGGAGCTGCGCTGTTGTTGGGCCACATCGTAGGTTTTGCAGGTGAAGTGCCTTTTTTAAGGCACTCTTATTATGCAGTATTTGTTCTTTCTCTCCATCTTCTTACAGCATATTATCAAGCCAGTTTTTCCCTTAAATGTACAAGAATTTATGTATTGTCTCAGCCTTAGTTAATTATAAATCTCTATCCACAAAGCCTTTTCCTGGAATAATAAACAAACATAATACTAACCAAGTTAATAATCTCAACAATTTACTCTTCAGCATCCAACTTTAATCCTATCAATCACACATCTATGTTTTAGCCTTTATGCCTAGTTACCCAAATGATTCTGTGGCTCTATTTCATATTCTTCACTCCTTTATTCCTCTTCATATAATCTTTCACATTTAAGTATTTTTCCAATACGAACCAATTAAGCTTTTCTCTCTTGAAATCAATCAGATATTTGTGTCACTGATTAATCACTGAAGAAAATGATTAATCCATAGAATTGAGTCCATCACCAAGAAATATTTGAGAAATACCAGTAGTGATATCTCAAGAGGAATTTGAATAAGTAAATGACTTGTGAAAGTCTAGAGAAATCAGAATAAGTGGGCATGCATGCATGTGTGTTAAGTCACTTTAGTCGTGTCCAACTCCTTGGAACCCTATAGCCTCCCAGACTCCTCTGTTCATGGGATTCTCCAGGCAAGAACCCTGGAGCCGGTTGCCATTCCCTTCTCCAGGGGATCTTCCCCAGCTGGGAATTGAACCCACATCGCCTCTCCTGCATTAGCAGGCTGCTTCTTTACCACTAGCGCCCCCAAGTGGGAAGAGTTGGTAAACTCGTTTTGGCAAGGTATATGGAGCCACACTCCATAGACACGGGACTCAGGACATTTTCTCTACTGCAGAAGACCTGAGGCCTGAAACGCCAAGACACAAACTTTAAAACAGGAAAAGAGATGGTAGTTGAGAGCTCTCACAGGAAACATTTTGAGAAAGACAACTCCTGGAACAAATGTCTCAGAAACCAGAAGCCTAATACTTATACTGAGTCATAGATTAAAAAAAAGGCATGAATATCTGAATGACAAAAGAAATATCAGAAATTCTTAACTGAATGCATAAATTTTGCACAGCCATCTCTATGGAAAAGATAAGGCTCCCAGAGTGAAAAAGATGGCTGCTATATTGCTAATGGAGGCATCATATAGAACTTCTTGTATTTATGAATCTAGAAAGCTTATAACCAGAAAAAAATAAGAATAGGCTTCTGTAGAAAATTCTGAAATATGACATTTTATAACTATACTCTTATCAAAACAAGTTAGCTTTGTTTGCCTATAACCAAGAAATTTCACAGCAAACTGATCGCAATAACCTAGTGACTCAAACGGGTAAAGAATCTGTCTGCAATGCAGGAGACCCTGGTTTGATCCCTGAGTTGGGAAGATGGCCTAGAGAATGGAATGGAAACCCAGACCAGTATTCTTGCCTGGAAAACTCCATGGACAGAGGAGCCTGGCGGGCTGTAGTCCATGGGGTTGCAGGGAGTCAGATATGACTGAGCAAGTAACACTTAACATAAGAGAAACATTAGTTTCTTCCAAATTCAATTGAATCTATATGCATCCAGGGTTTTTTTTTTTAAATTTTTATTTAACACCAAAAGCACTTTGTATTGGAGTATAGCTGATTAACACAATGTTGTGGCAGTTTCAGGTGAACGGAGATGAGACTCAGCCATAAATATATATATATTCATTCTCCCCCAAGTCCTCCTCCAATCCAGGCTGGCACATAAACATTGAGCAGAGTTCCATATACTGTACAATAGGTCTTTGTTGGTTATCCATTTTAAATATCTCAGCGTGTATATGACCTTCCCAAAGTCCCTAAGTATCACTTCCTCCTGGTAATCTACCCAGTTCAGTTCAGGTCAGTGCAGTCGCTCAGTTGTGTCCAACTCTTTGTGACCCCATGAACTGCAGCATGCCAGGCCTCCCTGTCCATCACCAACTCCTGGAGTCCACCCAAACCCATGTGCATTGAGTCTTCCCCATCTATTGGCCATGAAGTGATGGGACTGGTTGTCATGATTTTAGTTTTCTGAATGTAGAGCTTTAAGCCAACTTTTTCACTCTCCCCTTTCACCTAACCTACCTTGTTAAATATTGAGTCTTATTAAAAACTCTTGTTAAATGTTATTTAGAGTCTTGTTAAATATTGTTTTCTCTTATAAACATCACTACTGATATCTCTGAAGAGGAATTCAGAAAAAATTAAATGACAACAATCTTTGTACCACTTCCATTGCATAAAAATATAAAAATAAGAACAGATTTTTGAGGATTTTTCGTATAGTAATGTATCTAATAAAGAGCATTGGCTGGTAAGTGGAGATGGACAGAGGAAATGTGAACGTTCTATGGAAATGACCACCACTTCAGGGAATACTGTCAATGACTAAAAGATCAGTCTGGACATTGAAGTGGCAGGTACTTTGTTCATGTGGATATTGATGCGATTGCCACTAAATTGATCCACTGAACTATGACCCATGTGGGGCTCCCTCATCAGTGCCTATTTACCTGATGTGTAAATCACCATAAATCATCATTCCTACCTACACCAATCCCTTAACCTTTCAACATTGTATTTCTAAAATAATAAACCCCTTGAAATGAAAAGAAAGAGAATGGATAAATGCAAAAGTTTGCTGTTTGGGATATGTACAGATGACCTATTAGGACCAACTGTCACTCAGTAAGTAGACCAGAGGAAGGAAGCAGGAGAAAAATCCAAACTTGCTTAAATGACATGGACTTGTAAAATCTGAATTGAAGGTTCTGGATTTTGGAATTTGAAGTGATTTAGGTATGCAAACTGTATGGGGATTGCTTTGGGAATAACCATTAAAATGTGTTATTTTTGATAGACTAAATTAGAATTGTACTCTATTCATTACCGGCAGTCTTTAGCAGCAGCCACACTGGCATTTAACTATGGCAAATGGCAGTTCCAGAAACTGTCCTCATATTCCCAATATGCCAAAGGGGGTAGCCACCCAGTTTAGGGTGTCTCTTATTTGCAATGTGTAACGATAGTAGTGACTTCAGTGGAGTATCTCATCACCATCAGGCAAGCTTGAGGCTCCATCAAAGATGCAGAGATGACTAGAATTTACTATCTCCCCTCCCTCCTCAGTGGTTCTACCGGTAAAGAACCCACCTGCCACTGCAAGACACAGAAGAGACTCAGGTTCGATCTCTGGGCTGGGAAGATCCCCTGGAGGAGGGCATGGCAACCCACTCCAGTATTCTTGCCTGGAGAGTCCCACAAACAGAGTCCATAGGGTCACAAAGAGTCCGACACGACTGAAGCGACCTGGCATGTGCACACTGCCTCCTCAGAGTCTTCATTGGTCTGATTCTCTGAAAATAGCTACCCCTGAGTCCTTAATAGTTTCTAAGAGTAACTCAGATAAATCATGTAGAGTTTATTCAGCTTGCTGTGCTGGCTAGAAATTAGAGAACTGTTCTAGAAACCTGTAGTACAGACATAAAAAGTTGAAAAATAAAGGGAAAGAAGAAAGTACATTAGAATTATCCTGAATAAATAGAAAAATCTTCTCTTTACTTCTGTGTAATCTGAAAGCACCCTATATAGGCAGCACCTCCTGACTCCATTTCCTTCACACTTAGATATTGCCTAAGAATCTGTACTCCTTTGTAAAAAAAAAAAAGTTAAATATATATATATACATATATTTAGATAGATAATCTCAACTAATAATGAGAAGACGGGTTGGAGGCAGCAATCTCAAAGATCTCAGCTTTTAAGTGAAAGTTTAAAGTTTTGTCTTAGGTATAAATTATGATGGAAAATAGATGTAGAGGAAATTTGTGAACCCAGGGAAGCATTCATTTTAGGATAGAAGGATATATCTCAAAGAAAATGGACAAAGAAGTAGGCAGAAATATAAGAGGATAGTAAAGGTGATCTGTAATTTAAAAAGCAAATGGAAAATAAATTTTATAGAATTAGGCAGTGCTATAGTTTAATAGTGAAAAATGTCATAGAACTTCTAAGTAAGATAAAAATGGAAAATATCCATTTGGGGGGCAATAGGCTTTCAATGATCTTGACATTTTCAATAAAATGGTAGAAATAGGTTCAGAATGATTGCAAAATGGAAAATGAATACTTAATGAGAGAGTTAAAATGTATTTACATTCATTCTACAGATGAGAAAATTGAGCCTTCAGTAGGTTACACAATTTGTCCAAAATCGCACAATTAATAGATGATATATAAGAATCCAACCTCAGGTTTATCTGAGCTCTGAACTCATGATCTAAACCAACATCCATTGAGTATAAATGCTAGTTCTCCTGCCCAAGTTTGCCTTCCCATATAGTATCCTATTTCCTAAATTATTCATTTCATTAAAAAAGAAATAAGACTAAAATGCTTTCTCCTCCTTAATGCCATGCCAAGGAGTTACTCTTAAAGCATTTTTGCTGCATCTGAATCCATGTATTTCCTTCCCCAGGCCACAGCTTTTTCTTTACGGTTCCTGAACACAATCTGCGGATTGGTTTTTTCCTATATCTTTACCATGTGTTCAGAGTCCTGATCTACCTTTATTTGTTAAAGAAACAACTCCCAAGGGAGTTATCTAGCTCATTCCAACATAGGCTATTTGGGAATACCAAATGATCCTTTTTTCCCTTTCCCATCTGAAAAAGATCTGGCCTGCTGAAGTTGCCCCCCGTACCCTCCTTTTTTTTTCTGTATGGAGAGTCTCTAAGTGAAGCAGTGTCTCTACCATCAGATGAAGCAAGACTATCCAAGAGTTCTATGTGTCATAGAACAGGAAGATAAGTCACTGATTCTTCAAAACTGTTGGCCTTGGCAAAAACTATTCAATTCCTCTTATTTTTAACTGTTCTTAAATTATATTTTGTCACACCATAATATTTTTAGGAACAGCAATATGAAGAGACCATCAGATCTAACTTTTTACCGAATTTTTA